AAGAGCCAAAGGCTAAATATAAACCGAAATGCATATTAAATTGGCAAACATACTCAAAGCGTATATATTAAATACCGAGCCGGACTAAAACTAATTTAACTAGTATTTATTTAGGCACGCCTATTACGGGCTTTTCTCTGTCTGTTTGATTGCACCTGCAACTTTTTGTTCGCTTCTGATTGCGCAATCTAATCATGGCTGCTGTCTAAAGCATTTGCTTGTACAATAAATACTGTGTAAATGGAACTTTTCTTAAATAATCGATCAATTGAGCAATCGATTAATATCAATATCGATAACTTGCCTTTATAGCATATCTTAACGGTTTTAAGAGCTGAACTTTGAAAATCTTGACATGTAGCTGCTCGTAGTATATATATATATATATATATATATATATTCTATACAGATCAATCCCAACTAACAATCCCCAAAATTCAAAGCAATCCTGCGAATGCAGGGCATATTTTATAGCATTATAAGATGCACTTACAATTATTTTATAGCATAATAAAATGCACTCAAGAATTTTGACAAGATCGATTCGGAAACACTGAAAAAATTATTTAAGAAAAGCGCCTTTTAAGTATTTTATCAAGTAATGCCAGTTTTATTACTTTACCCTTGACTTTCGTCTAAAATCGGAGGCTTATATTTTTATGTGTTTCTAAGTATTTATGTATTCATGAATATAAGTGTTTTTATAGGAATGTTCATAGCAAAACATTAACCATAACAAATTACATACATATGTGTATCTTTATGTGAAGGGGGATGTAAATGTAATGTTGATGTAATCGATGCTCGTTGGAACTGGGTAAAAAGGGAATAATAGGTTGTCTTATGGCCCGAGGTTTTCTTTCAATTCATCAAAAGTTTGCTTGCGTGTGTCTTTGTCGAGGGTTCAGGGTATCTCTCCCAACAAGTTGGCTCAGCGTGTATTGGATAACTCTTTTCTCTCCAGTTTTGGAGAGTCTTTTATTTGCAATGAGTAAAGAGCGAGGGAGGTAGACATTTTGTATCTAGTTGGGAATAACAATATTCATCAAGCAATGTTAATAATTCCCATGGAAAATTGCTGTCAACTTTAAGCTCATGTCAAATTATTAAACAATTTTAGGAAGCGTTTCGGGGAATTTCAACAGATAAACACATAAAAAGTAACGAGGCAATCAAAAAAAAAATAAAAAAAAAAGCTAGCTAAGTACCGCCTGGAAACAAGGCAATAAAACAAAAACTTTCTTAGAGTTGAGTTATTAGCGAATTTTTTTGGTCAATCAGAGAGTTCGAAACGTAAAAAACTCTTAATTTATTATGCGCACAAATTAATGAAATTCGCCGAGAGGCCATAGACGAAGTTGAAAAACCAGTTTGCAAATACTCTGGTCGAAAATTCCATTAGCCAGCTGAAAAGTTTCTAACACAACAAACAAATATTAGCTATTAACGCGACCCGCACACAATTATCCAAAAATCTCATTAACTGTTTACTCGCCAACTAGACAGTTAACGGCGACACTCTTCCATTTGATTGATGTATAAGTATTCGTATATAAGAGAAATTCGGCTGAGCCGAGCCGGAAGGGCCATTTGCAATTTACCGTTTTAGAGGCGGCGATGCAACGTCATTTGGAAACTGCACCGTCCCCCCCAAAACAACCCTGCCATACGCTTCGTGTCTTCGTTTTTGTGTTGATCGTTCGTTCAGTCGTTCCTTCGTTCGGTTCGCTCGCTTCGTTCGGCTCGTTCGGTTCGTTTGCGTCTTCGGTTCGCGTTGATTCAATTATAATTGAAACTAATTTGGATTTGAGCGGATGAAAGCCTTCGTGTTGCGGTCAGGCGGGTGGGCGGGGGGGTTGTGTGTGAGATACATATGCTGTGCCCATTGCGCGAGATGAGCTTTATTTTTGCATTGCTTGCGGAATGCCCTTGAACCTGAGGCGCCCCCCCCCCCCCCCCCACTCCGCCCGCTGCTCCACAAGCTGTCTGTCTACTTGTGTACACTTTTGTACGCTGGTGTAATTGAATTTTCTCCAAATTAAAGGATAATACAACAGACGATTGCAACACAAAACTGTAATATGATCTTTAAGTGACACAAAGAAAACAATTCTAATGCAATGTACATTCCCTATATAAGAAAACCCCGCTTCATGTAATGCGAACAACGCAAATTATATATTTCTTAACTTTTTAAAATCCCAATAATAATATTTAATAAGAAAATTCCTTAAGCCGAAAATGCAGCATCGAAAATAATGAATAAACGCATTTTCTGAATATTCTCTTTAAATAGTTTGCAAATTGTATAAGAAAGAGTTTAAAGTCCATTTTCGAATTCGAATTCGAATATATATATATATGTATATAGTTGTACATGCTTGATTTGCAGTTATATTTGAATTACTTTTATGAGTATCTTGGCCAAAAGCCGTTGCTTAGACAGCTAACGCAACATTTTACATTATCCGAAAGGAAGAGAACTCTTTATTATCCGATTATCCGACTATCCGAGCGCAACACTTGCAATACGCGTTCAGTGTAAAATTTATCCGCGACTTGAACGACGCGACAAAACAACGTGAATTGACTGATAAAAAGAACTGCGCCGAAATGATAATCTAGACCAAAAGTTTCGATGTGGATGCCGGAGCATATTCAACTTGGCGCGCGCGCCAATGAGGCACTTAGTATATATACTATATGCACACATGCTATTATCCCCATCCTCATACCCATCATCATCATCTTGATCATCATGATCATCTCGTTTATTGACAGGGGGGAGGGGGGAGGGAAAGAGCGCAAAGCGAGCAGACTTTCGAACGCTCCAGAGTATCATCATATCTTTTATGAAATTCATTTAAATCATCATCAAATTGTGACGCGAAATTTCTTGAAGCGCCGGCTTCGTTCTTCTTCTTCTTGGGGGCAACCTGTGTTCTATAAATGTAAATGTACATTTTGTACATTCCCTAGTTTCGCTAGTTTTGTTATTTTTGTGTGTGTTTTACTTTAATTGCGCGTATCATTAATTGAGCAAGATTTTGCTCAATTGTTGCTAAAGCTTATTATTTGTTGTTGCATGAAGTCATCAAACAATTTGTTTAAACAAATCAAAATAATTTGTTGTTGTTTTTTTTTTTTGTCAAATCTGCAATGATTGATTGTTTTGGTTTTTTTTTTTTTTGGATTGTCGCTTTTTTCGGCTGCTTTTCGTTTTGCTTCTATTTTTGGCAAATTTGTGCTGCTTTGTTAACGGCTTTTATTATGTATTTTTATTGTTTATTCGTTTTTAATCATAACGTTGATTGTCTGTGTGCTTTAGACCATATTGTTTGCGAACGGTTGCCAAGCCGACTTCGTTTCCCACGCGTATATAAAATAGCCAAAATAAATACGTTTTTGTTTTGTTTCTGATAATGGGAACAGCCCCTAAATGTGAACTTTGAGTCGCATGTCACAGTTCAGTTTAACTTTGAATGTTGACTAAAGCCATAAATTAATAAATAAAATGGGCGATGGTTATTTCTCTTTCTTCGATCGTTACATAAATTATCCACAGTTTCTTCCTTCACCGGTCTTGGCCAGTTTCAAAGTGGCGCCAAATTTTCTATTGACAGTCAATTAAAAAAGTGACAAATTCGACAACACTTTGTAAATGCATTTTTAAATGTTACAACACTGCTGTTGCCACCCTCCGCCCGTATGCAAATGCCTTTAACCAACACTGGTTACTGCGCCTTGTGTGCGCTGCTTAGCCGGCGGCAAGTAATTAACAGCTTGTTGTGAAGTAATCATACCCTGTACCCAAAACACTTACTGCAAAGGGTATTATGCTGTAATACTTCAGGTGGACATTTCGACCATATAATACGTTACGTGCTTTATCGAAATTGAAATCATGTGAAATGGCGGCATAAATAAATGCAAAATAACATATATTATTCGGTGCGTTAGCTGTAAAACGAGTTGGCAAATTGTTTTTAAAATTTGGCTAATTTCAGTGGAAAATTTATGTCTCAAACAAAAAAATGGCAACCTTTTACATTTTGGTGTATAAAAATACAAAACATTAAATGAATACATCAAGTGTAACAAGAGTTAATGTGCAATATGCTTTAAATATTATCGGATGTAGTTATTATTGTATCATATAAAACACACAATATATATATATACATATAGTGTAATGGAAAGTTGATTTAAGAAAATTGGCAACATAAAGCTTCCTCTGTGGCAGGCGCAGCTCAAGATTAAGGAACTGTTTACAGGGTATCAGCTGGCCAACTAACTTGATGGGTGTCTTAACAATATCGAGTGGATCACTCTTAATTGTTTTCCGCAACATTTTTGATTTACATCATGCCAGCCTATAACGTAGGCATTTAATTACTTTAGAAGCGGGTATGCAATAGTTTGTTGCAGTTTCTAAGCCATTTAATTTGGCTAACGATTTGTTGTCATTATTTGTATACAGCTATTGTTGTTATTTCAGTGCAGGAAATACGCGCAGTTGAATTTTGCATTACATACACGAAAATACAATGCAGCACAATACACACGCAGATCTCAACTCGAGTTCATGCATGTACATATGTGCATACGTATAAACAATGGTCGCTTCGGGCGCTCTGAACTTGACTTTCTGACATTCGATAACATTTTGTATGCATGCTTTCAGCTGCTCTTTCCTTTGAGCTATAGCAATATGCTGGGCAAAGTTGATGTCGAGGCCAATGTGGAGGGCGGTGGTCCATCCGGTCAGGCGGGCGCCATACGCTGGGGCATTGCGATGAGTTTGCGCAGCTTTGTTGATCAAGAGATGATTGAGACAATGCGTCTGGGTAAGTCCGATTGCCGGCTCGAAATCTTTTAATTGTCGCTAATTGCTTTTATGTTCTTCTTCTCTATGCAGCCGGCTTGCTGACACGTGACTATCGCAGGCGAGAGCGCAAGAAGTTCGGACAGGAAGGCGCACGTCGCAAATATACGTGGAAGAAGCGCTAAGCGGCCAACTACAAAGCGTCATTGCATTTCTATACAAATGTTCAATAAAAACTATGTTAATTAGTTCGATAACTAAAACTACATCTGGTTTAGGGGCTTGAGACCCAACAGCTGCATGCCCTGTTGCAGCGTGCGCTTGGCCGCAAGAAAGAGCAGCAGTCGCTGCCTTTGCTTCTCCGGGCGTTTCTCTTGCTTGACAGGCAAACGTTTCAGAGCGCGACTCGTCGCATTGCTGTAAATTGACAAAATAAGGGATTAGTTTGGGCCTCAATAAAAAGTAATAAAAAGCAGTTCACGCACCACAAGCCGAACAGATAATTAACTACGACACACGCCTCCAGCTGCTCCTTGGCCTGCCAAACGCATTGCTCAAAGCGCGCCAGCTCGTAAAGCAAAGCGAGCGCATCGGATGGCTCTTCAGTTAAATGCTGCCAGCTGGGCTTTACTTCTGCCAGCTCAATGTGCCTGAAATTATCCAGCAGACTGTGCAGCCGGCAGTGTGTATATTGTAGCTTGATGCCCGTGTCGCCATTAACCTGCAGCGCCTGCTCCCAGCTGAACTCATAGTCCCGCTGCCGACGCTGTTTCAGCACGTTCACCAGCACAGCTGACACGCCTAGAATATCGCAGACATGATCATCATCCAGAGTGCTATTCACTTTGGTGGCTAGAAGTATAAATTACAATAGGAAGGGAATCTAGAAGAGATGCATAGGTCGACACCCACTTGAGCTAATGCTGCGCTTCTCGCGCATCACGTCGCGCGCCTCGTTGAGCACATCGCGCAGAAATATGGCAGTGCCTTGGCGTGTGCTCATCCCGTGAATGCGACCGAATTTCACATGCTGTAGCTTGTCATTGAAGCGTTCATCTAGCGCCGACACCGTCTGGAACAAGGCATTGAAATGATCCGCCTGCCCGTTGTCCACCACATAGAGCAAGCGCGAGAACTGTAGACGTCGCTGGCGTTCCAGGAGTGCAGCAATATCGCGCGCCAAGTACAAGGTGGAGCCATCGCTCTTGATGACAGGCACACGACGCTGGCCCACAACCACAATCTCCCGGCCATCCTCTTCTCGTTGCAGTAGTCCTGCCGCGCGCAGTTGTGTCAGAACATCAACGATTTCACGCTGCGAGTACTGTGACTCCCATTCGTAACTGTCGAAATGCACTCCAAGACGCTCGTAGACGCCAGTCAGCTCCTCTATGGTGTATTGGCGGTACTGCTCCCATTGTTTGGACATGGTTGTATCTTTGCCCGCTTCCAATGCACTGAACAGTTCACGTGCCCGTTGAGCTAACTGTGGATCCTCTGCAGCAGCTCTATTGGCCGTCACATAAGCGTTGTAGAGCGTTTCAATAGGTGCCGCACGCATTTGAGCATCATTCACATTGCTCAGTTGGACGCCAAGCGCCAAGAGGCCAAACTGGGTGCCCCAATCGCCCAGATAGTTAAGACGTGTCGTGCGGTAGCCCAAATGCTGATGAAGATTGGCCAGCACATTGCCTATGATTGTGGAGCGCAGATGGCCCACATGAAAGGGCTTTGCTATGTTCGGCGAGCTGTACTCGACAACAACGTGCTCCTCGCGTAAAGCTGGCTCCATGGAGAGGTTTTGGTTTGCTTGCAGCAGATGGGCTGTAAATGCGTCGGGTCGAATCTCGAACTCAACTTTGGCTGCATTGCGTCCATTTCTGGGTACCACACGAACTTGTTCTATGTACGTGGCATCAAATTGTTGACTTTTTACCGACTCCAACAGGTCGTGCTCCTGTTGTGCAACATCGGCCGGCAAAATCCACTGCAGCAATGGTCGTGTAGCGGCATTTTGTTGCACCTTGGAGGGCACTTCGAGCGCATGGTAGATGTTTTTCAGTTGTGGCAGCTGCGTTTAATAAACAATAGAAGATTTAATAAGCCTTGTTGACAACAGTTTTATTGTTTTACCTGCTCACAAATTGCGCGCCGTATCGCGCTGGTCATGTTATTGCACAGGGTGACAATGTCATGTATAGTGTTGCAAAGTGTCGCGCTCTTGTTGTAAACAAACACGATACGACATGTATGATGAACAAAGTCGAATAACTGTTAAACAAATATTTCTTTATCTTTAACATTACTAAAATATTTATTTTATCTCATAAAATCACCGACATAATATAAACAAATTAATGTTTTGATTGTTCTGCAATTGTTCCAACAAATATGTCTCGTGTGTGGATCATTTAACAGCTGTTTTGCAATACTGGGCTGGGCATTGGGTGTTGTTTTTGTCTAAAGTCGATTTTTGTTTGGTTTTGCGCTAAGGCATTTATGCCAATTGAAAAAGCAAAATGCATAAGGCCTACAATGTGCAGTCGATACTGAAGCAAGGCGTTCAAATTGAAGCCATTGCAGCATACGGTAAGTTACAGCCATAGATATATAAATAAAAAACAAAATATGGCTTACCTTTGTTTAAGCAGGTAATCAAGTCATCTTGGGCACCAGAAGCGGTCAGCTCATCATGTACGCGGTGGAAACGCAAACAGGCGTCGATATGCGTATGTTCAACAATAATTTTAGCAAGAAACCCATTGCCCAAATGGAGGTGGTTTCTCCGGAGAATTTGCTGTTTGTATTGACCGACAATATGATTCATGTGTGTGATATAAGCCGGATCGAGAACAATTTCGAGTTTATACATAAATCCCTAGAGACAAAAGGCTGTACGTTGTTTACCATGGATGTGGACACACGCAAATCAACAACGGGCGAAGTGGCAACGTTTATACGAATCGGTTGTGCCATAAAACGTCGATTGGTGTTTTTCTTTTGGAAAAAGGATCAGCTCGCATCGCTGCAGCTGGCCATCGAGCTCATCGATGTGCCCAAGGCAATGTGCTGGGTTAACCAGCTCGTCTGTGTTGGCTACAAAAACGAATACGTTCTATACGATGTAAGTGACATTTCCAGATATAAATATATACTGATATAAGCATAGCTTAACTCCCCTGCTAGATATCCAGCAATCCGCCAACGATGTACAAGCTCATTCTTACTTCCTCCACCATAAGCCAGGAGCCCAACATTTGCTTAATGCGTAATAACATGCTTGGCATATCGAAGGAAAACTACCTGATGCACATTGATCTCGCTCAATACAAATCCAAAGACGGCTGTGCTGACGGCGGAATGAGCAACAAGACAACGTTGACGCCTTGGACAAGTCCGCTTTTGGGCTTGGGTAATTTTCTTCTATCTTCTGCATTATATTATATGACACTAACAATATCAATCTTCACAGTTTGGGATGAGCCATTTGCTGTTGGGCGCATTAAAAATGCCGTCGAGGTGCGCAGCTTGGTGGGCAAGGACACGTTTGTGCAGTCCATGCCGGAGCTGAGGAATACCCGGTTTCTAGTTCGCTCCGATAAGGGCACCATCTTTGCCGCCGCTTCATCGGAGCTGTGGTGCATACGCCTCGTGGACATTCCAACGCAGCGCGAGGAGTTATTGCAGCAAAAGAAATTTCAGCTGGCAATCGAACTGACGGTTAGTTTGGCCTGAATATGATTCTATTATAGCTGTAGCCCATATTGCATCCATTTGCAGGAAATTTCCGACGAAAATGCCAGCGATAAAGCACAGACCGTACGCTCGATACACATGCTATATGCCAAAGAGTTGTTTACCAATAAAGAATTCGCAGCTGCCATGAAGGAATTCGAGAAAGCCGCCATCGATCCCTACGATGTGATACGCCTCTTCCCGAGTCTCGTGCCGGAACCAAAGACCACTGCAGATGCTGCAGTACCAACGTCCAGTGTACCAAAGCTGGAGGATCATGAACTAGAGAATGCGTACTTGGCGCTTATTGAGTTTCTGGCACAAGCACGTCAACGAGAGGTGGTGAAATTGCTCGATACCAAGGGCATCTCCAATTTCCTGCTTGAGATAATTGACACGACGCTGCTCAAGTGCTATCTGAAGACAAATGATGCGCTGGTTGCGCCCCTGTTGCGCCTTAACCAATGTCACCTGGAGGAGTCGGAGAAAATGCTCAAAAAAAATAACAAACTTTCCGAGCTTATTATTCTCTATAATGGCAAAGGAAAGCACAAGAAGGCTTTGACGCTTCTAAAGGAACAAGCGAACATTGAGGGATCTGTTTTGCAGGGTCTTAAACGCACCATTACCTATCTTCAGGCCCTGGGCGTTGACAATCTGCCCTTAATTTTTGAATTTGCCGACTGGGTATTAACTGAGAATCCGGAGGAAGGTCTAACAATATTCACCGATGAGCTGATCGCCGTGGAGAAGCTGCCTCGTGCCAAAGTTCTTGACTTTTTGGTGAGCAAACACAAGACTCTCGTTATACCCTACTTGGAGCATGTCATCGACGAGTGGGGTGACACCAATACACTGCGCCACAATGCACTTCTTAAGCAGTACAGCGAGCAAGTGCAGCGCCTGCTGGCTCAGCAGGCTGAGGGGTAAGTAGATATTCTGATTTTGGGGAATTGATTTCATGTATTCGCTGATTGACAGAAAAGAAACACCCGAGCTGCCGCACTTGCGCGCCAAAATGACTAAGATGCTAGTGGAATCTCAATACTATTCCCCAGATCACGTACTGGAACACTTCCCCACCACCATGCTGCTGGAGGAGCGTGCCATAATTCTGGGCCGCCTCAAAAAGCATGATAAGGTACTGGCCATATACATACAAGTGCTGGGTGATGTGGAGAAGGCCAAGGACTACGCGGAGGCAAACTATGAACAGGACAAAGAGGTGTTTAATATACTGCTCCAGATCATACTGAATCCAGTGCCTCAGCCGCCCTACGAGGGCGTGACCATGCATCCAGACTTCCTCAGACCAAACAAAGAAGTGGCATTGCACCTGCTAAATACCTATACAGTGAAAATTGACCCAACAAGGATTTTGGAAGTGAGTTGGACTTGTTTGCCGCTTTAGCCAATGACTTTTCCTATTGCAATTATCACTTTGTTTGCAGTATCTGCCGGATGATATTTACATGCATGAGTTGAAAAATTATTTTGAGACTGTGGTGCGCACCCAGATGGCCGAAAGCCACCAGCGCCAAATTATGCGCGGACTTCTGCAAGCGGAGGCGGCGCGCCTGGAGGCGGCCATCGAGCAGGAAAAGAGCAAGAGCTTTGAAATGAATGAGTCGACTGTGTGTCCGGAGTGCAAGAAGCGCTTTGCCAATCAAACTGCTTTTGTACGCTATCCGGATGGTCAAATTGTGCATCTGTCCTGCTACGACAGAGTCGTGTCGGCAACACAACAATAAACCGACTCTTTTCATATGTGATAATTTCAAAAGTAGACAAGTCTTTCTAAGTTAAGATATATATTTGTAAATGCTAAGCATAATTCGTACGAAATCAGACTGTTTCTGAATTGAAAATATGAATAGTTCTAGAATTATATAAAACACTTAAGGCAAGCGATTCACTTGCAATAAATATCTTAAGAGAATATATTAGTTTTCAAAAACATAGCTCATGTATACAAATTCAGACTTAGTTATTTGCATGAAAGTCTAACTTCTTTGTTTGTCTACAGATTTAAACAAGCATTAGCTTATTCGACGCGTATTGAATGTATCATTATACTATAATGTATGATTGTGGGTATGCCTATTGAATTTTTCCTTCGACTTTTAACTTTTTAAGGTCGGTTGGGTTTTAGTTATGGTGAATACAGTAGCCCAATCCCGCTGGCAATTCAGTCGGAGTTATATTTTGTTAACATATGATACGATAGTTCAACCCGACTGATAAATTGCAGCAAATAGACCGATCCATTCGAAGTTTCAGGCTATAAACTGAGATACTGGTTTCCAAGATGCCTTCTCGAAAGCAAACAAAATGGAATGATATGAAAATATAATGAATAAAAATAAATATATAATATAACTTGGAAATATTTACAAAAAAACGTAAAACTAAATGTAAACATTTTTAGTTCTTTCGAAAGTCGCGTAAAAGCTTATAAAAATATAATCGAGGGGAAATTTCTGCTTGATTTTATTCAAGCTAAAGCCTAATATTTCCGTTTGTTGAAGAGGAAAAGCTCAGACTTCAAATATTTTCTCAACAAATTAAAATTGTTTTGCATAAAAATAAAATAAATAACTAAAGCTAATTTATAATCATTAACTTTTACTAAGTTTTAAATTAATGGGCAAATCAACAACAGTATAAATCATTCAAAAGTTCTGGAGAAATGTACGTAAATTCGAAAATTCCCAAATCAATCTGATCTTGAGATACTGCGAGATGTAGAAAAATTACTGAATTGAAAATATTGAATACTTAAATTATTGCATATTGTACATATTTATTTCGCTATATTTACAATTGAGGCTGCGCACAGATTGTTTATGCCTCCTCACTGCCATCCATAAGACTATCGCCGTCCAGATCTAGGGAATCATTGCATATGGATAAATCAGATTCGGATGCCGCCCGGCTCAATGGACGTAACGGCAGTGAGAGCGATTGTTTGCTGTCCTCGTTGTCGTTGTCCTCCTCCAGCAGGCTAGGCGAGGCCGTGCTGCAGCCGGCGTTCAATGGCAGCTCCACGGCGGTGTTAGTTGATGCAGTGGCTGCTGTTGCTGCTGCTCCGCCGGGCAATTGCGTTTGACGAATTAGCGCCAGACGCTGTTGTGTGAGCTCCAGGTGATGTTTGCGCCATTTAATGCGACGATTTTGAAACCAGACTTTCACCTGAGCCTCCGTCAGCTTGAGCGTGTGTGCCAGATATAGACGCTCCGGACCGACCATATATTGTTGGCGCTCGAATTCCGCCTCCAGGCATTCCAGCTGTTCCGGTGTAAAAATAGTTCGCACTCGCTTATTCTTCAGCGCGCTCTTCTTCTGGGAGTCTGTCGTGGAAAATAAAACACAGGATTGACCATTTTATATTAGAGCTAACTTCAGTGCTGCCAGTTCAGCTGGTTTCTAGCTTAGTTTGGCTATGTTCTGATGTCTTCAGCCGGAAACAGCCAAAAGTATAGCTGGGTTAGCTAGTTTTTGGCATTTTACTATAATCAACTCTGTTTATTGCTAATTTGTAGCTATTTCTAACATTGAATTTAGCCATTTGACAACACTGCTTGACTTACCCGATTTGAGTTTGTCCCGTTGGAAACTGAGCGATGCCTGCTGAGCGTGATGTTGGTGGAGCTGTTGAAGGCTCTGCAATGCGGAGGGCGCGCCGCTGACGGCGGCGGCGACGACAGCGGCAGCAGCAAAATTTGCACGCTGTTGCGAGTGGGAATGCGAATGCGGATGCGGATGTTGCACTGCGGCCAGGTAGCGACTGCCGCTGCTATCACAATTAAAGTTATTTACACTTTGGCTGTTGTTGTTGTTGCTGTTGCTGCTAGTGCCATAGCTGTTGTTGTTGTTGTTGATATTGTTGTTGTTGTTATTGTTGTTGTAGAACTTGCTGTTATTGTTATCCTGGTCGAGAACATCCGCACCGCCCCCCGCTGAGTTGACGCCATTGAGCGACAGATTAATGGCATTATTATAGTCCTTGCTCTGCTGTTGCAAACCCAAAATGGCGGCTATTGTAAACGACTTGCCCACATCGAGGGAGGTATGCGCCGCGGCCGCTTCAATGAGCTGCGCGTGCGACGTCGCAGTCGCCAGCTGCTGCTGCTGCTGCTGTTCCCTCTGCTGGTTGTGTGTGTCCGCCTGTGTTTGTGTGGGTGTTGGGAGGCCAATAGGAAGTTGCTGCTGTTGTTGCTGCTGTTGCTGGTTTGAGTGCAGCTCCATTTGATACGAACTTTGACCCGCCGCCGTCACTGCAGCTGCCGCCGCTGCAGCAGCCAGCGCCGCCGAAGGCAGTGCATGATGCGGTTGCAACTGTCCATGTCCATGTCCATGTCCATGCCCGTGTGCCTGTGCTTGTGCTTGTGCGTGTGCGTGTGCGTGTGCGTGTGCTTGGGCTTGTGCAACACTGTTGGCTTGTGTGTTATGCAATGCCAGAAAGTGTGACAAGGGATTTGCGTGATATTTGGAAGGATTCTGCAACATGCTTAGTATTTGGCACAAGATGGTCACCTCCGTCTCACTTGTTGGTTAGCTGAAAAATGCAAGAGCAATGTGTTAATGTTAACTTGTCGCCGACTTGGTCAGCCGCATGGCATTCAGCTGTCAACGACTGCAGTTGCAATTGTCTCTCTGGCTCTGATTATGCCCACAATTAAGTGGCACTTGGCCAGCCGCAAGCACCTGTAATCGGAGCTGCTTGAAGCCAAGTGGAAATGCAAATGCAAATGGAAATGGAAATGCTGGCCCAAGTGCAGCCGTCGGTGGCTTTTAAACCAAGTCAAGAATCTCTAAATGCAGCTTAGTCAAACAATTGACCCGGCAATGAATGGCGGGCAGCAACAACTGGTTGGGCCAGGCAAATAAAGCAGCAAATGACCGCAGACTGCTTCACACATTCACACACACACACACGCACAGGCAGCGAAGCACACGCACACACACACACACACGCACACGCACAGGCAGAGAAACGGACACACGCACACATGCACTCACTCACACAGTGAGTGCATTCATTGCACTTAATTGCAATGCTTTTCACCTCCTCTCGTTCACGCTCTATCTATCTCACTCTCTCTCTCTCTCTCTCTCTCTCTCTCACTCTCTCTTCATGCATCTGCTGTCGCTGTCCCTGCTGGCAATTTGATAGCCTAATTGAGACTTTGTCACAGTTTGCTGCTTAATTGTTGCTGCTGTTGCTCAGGTGCGTTAAATATCCAACGGATAGCCAGACAATCTCAAATATATATAAATGTTAAGACACACACACACACGCACACACACACACGCACACACACACACACATGAGGCTAAACGTGGTCAAGTTGTGTCGCTCGCATTGAATAAATTGGGTTCATTAAGGAATATAGTACAAATAACTGTGGGTAGATGGTGCTAATCGCATTATGTCCTAGCTGTAAATTTCAACTAATTTCCCAAATAAACTCAATGGCAAGCCAAAGGTATTTGCAAATATCTCCAAGAAAATAAACAGGTGTAAATTTGTAGAAATATTGTTCTTTAATATTTCAAGCCACAAATACAGACATTTAAAAAAATATTTAAAATACGCGGTTTTGACAAACTTAGCTTTAGGTGATTTAATATATAACAAATCCAGACAAATTATAGAACTTGACTTTCATGTTCTGCCAATGAACTCAAATATAGAATGTGTGGTAATATATTCTCTATATGAACATTTTTCGATTTTTTGCGTATTTCCTCATATATCCTCAGATATAAACGTATAGCTAAGGCGTAACATTTACTATTTTGTTTAAACAATAAATAAAGAATATGTGGTAATATTTTCTCTATATGAACAACAAACTTTGATCATTGTATATTTGGTATATCCATAGATGTAGAGCGTAAAATTTAAAACTTTGTTTAAAAGTCCCTAAACTTAAAATAAATACTCGTTTACCCGGCTAAGACACAGTACTACGAACTTTTTGGTTGGGAAACTAGGGAATGTGATTAAATTTGTCAGGTGAATACGAACTTTTTTAAAGATCAACAGAGAGAGAGAGAGAGAGAGAGAGAGAGAGTGTAAATTTATCCGACACTGCGGATAACTCTACTTAGCTTTAATTGGCATCGGGTATATAGAGAGAGAAAGAGAGAGAGAGAGAGAGAGAGTGAGAAAGAGAAAGAGAGAGAGAGAGAGTGTAAATTTATCCGACACTGCGAATAACTCTACTTAGCTTTAATTGGCATCGGGTATATAGAGAGAGAGAAAGAGAGAGAGAGAGAGAGAGAGAGTGAGAAAGAGAAAGAGAGAGAGAGAGAGTGTAAATTTATCCGACACTGCGAATAACTCTACTTAGCTTCAGTTGGTATCGGGTATATAGAGAGAGAAAGAGAGAGAGAGAGAGAGAGAGAGAGAGAGAGAAAGAGAGTGTAAATTTATCGGACACTGCGGATAACTCTACTTAGCTTCAATTGGTATCGGGTATATAGAGAGAGAAAGAGAGAGAGAAAGAGAAAGAGAGAGAGTGTAAATTTACCCGACACTGCGAATAACTCTACTTAGCTTCAATTGGCATCGGGTATATTCGACTGCAAAATTCTAGCTTTTACAATAGAGCACATTTCTAACATATTCCATTCCAGTGCCTCAGATTCAAAATCGAACTCTCCTTTAGACTTTTTTTTCACAATTAAAACTCTTTTGGACATATTAAGTCAAACTATTATGAATCCAAGGCCAAACCCATTTGCCCTCTATAAGGCGGACACTTCATTTGGGCGAACAGGAATCTCCAGACGGTCACTGTCCGCCTAAGAGAGTTTTCACACTATATACTTTCTAGAGTCGAAAACTCCAATATCCATTTGGCATATTTTTAATGCGATCTATTTACCTTCGTCACATTTTGTCGCACTTAACTATTATTGAAGGGCTACTGAACCTAGTCTTATAACATATGTACGTAAATCCCCTTTGGATGAGATCCAATCCGAGAGATTATACCAATAGATGCTTAGGTAGAACG